AAAAGGAAAGAAAGATGCTGATGGCAGCCAGAGCCCTGGAGCTGGCTGGAGGAGCCACGTGGAGAGCCGCACCAGCGCTGAGATGCTTCCACAAGACTTTCCACCCACGGCCTGAGGTCTTCCTGTTTTCAGCATCGTTGCATGTGCTGTGTGAGTCTGGAGAAGAATTTATGGAGTAGTATCGGACATGGGGCTGATATCGGACTTATGGACTAGATCTGGACTGGGCTGGGATGCTTTATTGATACATACTTACATTTCAATATAAAGTTCTCTCTTCCACATTATAAAAAAAAAAGGAAAGAAAGTGGAAAATGAGGGAAAAAATAAAATGGAAAAAGGAAAGAGAGAAAAAGGAAACAGGAAGAAGGAAGGGGCGGGAGCATGGCACACAGGATGGCGAAGGCTGCCGGCCCTTTCGCTGGGTGGTGGCTGCGCGGGGCTCATGACGGGCCCTGGCTCCTTTTGAGTGTACTTTGGAGATTCCACAATGAAACGCCGAGAAAAACCCTGCGCTCCCAGCCTTGCATTCACGACTGCTTGCTTTTTGTCTTCTTCTTTGTACTCCTTGTGAAAGTGCCTGTGGTTGAGGGATGTCTTCTTTGTTTCAAACCTAGTTTTCTTCCCTCCGCTGGCGTGTTGGTTCCCAGGGCTTTCCCGGGGCTGCCCAGTCCTGGAGAAGCTGGGCGGAGCTGGTGGAGTTTTACAGCCTCTTCTGACCGAGCTGGGCGCCCACTGTCACTGTGCCCCCTGACCATGTCCCCCCTGTTCCTGACTTCCAACCTGGCAGGCTCCTCCCCAGCGCTGTGCTGGGCAGTAGTCTATCGGGATCCACAAGCTTGCCATTAGCTAGTTTGTTTAAACCAGGTCTGTCTACCTGGCCTCTCATCATTCGGAGCGCTACTAAAGCCTGTTGGTATTTGAAAGACTGGAGACATCACATCCAGTACCATTGCAGGGCAGCCCAGTGAGACCAGCCCACAGATGGGTGGTGGGTGTGGCCTCTAGGCACTCTGGTTTGCATGTGATTTGCATAACACAGACCTAGTCTAGTGGTTCTCAGTAAAGGTGCAACTTCGTTCTCAGGAAACATTTGGCAATGCCAGGAGGTATTTCTGACTTTTCCAACAGAATGGGGGAAGGAGCCCTGGTGGCAGAGTGGGCTATGCATTGAGTTGCTAACTTCAAGGTCCCCGGTTCAAGCCCACCAGCCACTCCTTGTGACAAAGATGAGGCCGTTCTTTCCTGTCAAGATTTACAATCTCAGAAACCGAAAGGGCAGGTTTCCACTGTCTTATCAGGTTGCTCTGAGTCAGAATCAACTCGAAGGCTGGGCGTGAGCGAGCAGGAAGGGGGATTTGCCTGCTACTGCCATCTACTGGGCAGAGCCTGTGGAGATGGCTACACACCCCACACCCCACAACGCCTAGACCAGGAGCGCTCAATACGTCGATCTTGATCTACTAGTCGATCGCAAATGTAGTGTGGGTAGATCGCATGGCATTAAAAAAAATAGCCTTAAGCCTGTCATCAATCCCATCTCTTAACTGATATACAGCGCAGCCAATCAGATGCAATCTTGTGTCAAACGCATGCACAAACAACTGTGCTAAGTGCAGCAAAACTGACAAGCTAAGTTACTGCCAATTTTCAGATCTTGGTTTATTTCTCATAAATGTAAGACAGGGTATTAAATTGAGTGGGGAACTGAACCAAGTAAGGAGACAAAAACGTATCACTTAAAGAAAACCAAAAAACAAACAAACAAAAAACCCGTATCACTTTCATACGGAATGGGAGATTCTGACACTACAAGCCCACATTCAGCTGAAGTCCGGAGCGCATGAACAGTTCTGGAACTTACTCGCAGAGGGAAAGTACCCAAACATGAGAAAATGTGCTACCTCCTTGACTGCATTATTCAGCTCTACTTATTTATATG